CCAAAAACGCATGAACTCATATGTTCATCGTATCACTATTCACGACAGCAAACAGATGGAATCAACCCAAGTGCCCATGAGCAGTGGATTGGATAAAGAAAATGTGGTACATACACACTATGGATTACTTCCCAGCTATCAAAAAGAATGAAATCATTTGCAACAACATGGATGGAGCTGTAGGCCATTTCCTTAAGTGAACTAATGCAGAAACAGAAAAGCAAGTACTGTGTGTTCTCACTTATAAGCAGGAGCTAAACACTGGGTATAAAGAGGAAAAAATAGATAATGAGGACAACTGGGGAGGAGAGAGATGGAGGGGGGCAAAAAACTACCTGTTGGGTACTATGCTCACTACCTGGGTGAAGATTCATTCATACTCCAAACCTCAGCATCATCCAGGAAACCTTTGTAACAAACCTGCACATGTACCCCGTTTCTAAAATAAAATGTTGGAAAAAAAAAAAGCAAAATTTCTAAAAGCCTTTTCCTTTCTGTTCTCAGTACTGGGCTTCCTCATGGTATATGGCTAGTAGGGGTTAGGACTGCTGTAATGACTTCAACATGTAAAATTGTTTTACCATCTCACCTTTCATAATTGCCTTTATCTATGTTTGTTATTCCCGACAAACCTTGCTGTTCTATAGTCTGTTTAGAGGTCAGTAATACCTTTGGATTTTGGTCCTCTCCTAATTTGCAATTTATAACTTTCTTGGAGAGGGTCTGGATTTAAGTTTGAGTAATTGCATGACTCAAAAGTAACAGAAATGTGACTCTTTTGAAAACATTTCATAAGTCAGGATTTTAGTAATTTAGACAGATTCTTTCCCCACCCCAAATTCTGAATTAATGCGTTCTGTTGGGTTTTAGATACCCATATCGTATGTTTTTAAGGATTATCTTATTCTGGAAGCCTACTAGATAGAAAGATTAGATTTTCTTAAGTTCTGTCTTTCAATTTTCATTTTGGTTTGCAATTTGATACATTCTGACAGCCCTATATGAAAAAAAAGAAGGATTTGAAAGTTCTTAATCTTATACACAACATTCTGCTTTCAAGTTAGACATTTTTAAGAGAGTACAATGGGTTGTGATGGTAAGGAAGGCCTATATAGTTTCATTCAATTAATTAATTGCTACTTTCTCCCTGCCTCAATTTTTTAGTTATTTTTGTTCACAAGAATTCTAACCAAATTTTACTTTTAATTTTTGTGTTCTTTTGAGACAGAGTCTCACTCTATCACTCAGGCTAGAATGCAGTGGCACGATCACAGCTCTGCAGCCTCGACTTTCCAGGCTCAGATGATCCTCCTACCTCAACTTCCCGAGTAGCTGGGACTACAGGCACAAGCCACCACGCCCAGCTAATATTTTGTATTTTTGGTTGAGATGGGGTTTTGCCATGTTGTCAGGCTGCTCTCAAACTCCTAGGCTCAAGCGATCTGCCTGCCTCAGCCTCCCAGAGTGCTGGGCTTGCAGGGGTGAGCCACTATACCTGGCCACAAAACTATGTTTAAAGGAATTTTGCTCCCTGAGTTAGTAGATGAGGAGTTCAAAGGTGCATATACACAAAGTGGATTTACCATGAAGCCAACAAAACAAGTTATAAAATTGAACAATGGATACTTTTTAATCATCTACCAGGAATCAATATTAAACTAGGTAGGCATTGTAAGAGTTACATTAAGAAAGATAATGGACAGAGCATTCCTGGAAATTAAAACTTTGTTAGTTAACAAGGTGAAGCCACTAGAGTTCTAGCCAACACAGTGTAGAAGAGAAGAGGACTAGAAGATACTGAAAATCCAGGACAAAGGATTACTCTCCAGGGCTAGAGCTACTCAGGGCTTCAAGGATGAGGTTTTGAGTTGAGTCTAAAAGCATAAGAACACAGAGCTGAATCTTCAACGTTAGCTATAATGTAGGAAGAGAGGAGAAATAAGGAGATTAATCATGAGCTTGGAGGTCACCCAGGAAAGAAGATAGTTTTACATGAGCTAAAAGAATTTCAAGAAAGAGTAGGTGTGATAGATTAAATATGGTCAGAAACACTTTGTCCTTCATCTCATCAAGAGGATAAGTCTCTTTCTTCACCCTTTATATCTGGGCTGGTCTCAGGACTTCTGCTGAAATAGAAAGTGGTTGAAGTGATGTGTGTATTCCAGATGTAAACCTCAGAGGGACGTGCAGTTTCTTTCTGCCTTCACTACCTTGGAAAGCTGCCCCAGGTTTGACATGTGAGGAAGCTACTTCGCCTCCTCTAGGATGAGAAGAAACCACTGGGGAGGATTGAAGCTCCCCACTGACAGTGTCACCTACTGCCACCTATGTGATCAAGTCCTGTGTGATCATGGGCTCTCCTGCCCAGGTAGACACATGAGTGAGCCCAGGTAAAATAATCGGAGGGCACCACCCAGCCAAACCAAAGAATCACTGGAAATAGTATATCATTTTCAGCCACTACATTTGGGATGCTTTGTTATGCAGTAGTGGATAATTGATGTGAAACAGTCATAAGGAAGGATGAGAAATGGAGGAAGACAAATGGATTTGGAAGTCATTAGTGTCCTGGCATCTCAGTTCCAGAAAAGACAAATCCGTGAAGCATGTTGCCAGTTTACATGTGGATACATTGAGTTATCAAAGTGTGAGGCCGTTGATGATTTAAATCGTTTGTAATTGAGTCTTATTCAGAGTCTAATGCTCACCAATCATTTTGACCTCCACTTGGATAGGGCCAATTCACCAAACTGAAGCAGAGAGAAAGTGTGTTTGTTAGTCCAAGGATATAGCCAGCCTTCCTCACAATTTTATTTCCCATTGTAATTGAATCATTTTCATTTTATTTTGTTAGAAACAGGGCCTCATCTGTAAAAATTAGCCTTATAATTTGATATTTTCTTTAAACTCAAGGTAAGCTTAAGCTTACCTTAAGCTTATATTGAGAGAATTTTTTTGTTTGTTTGTTTGTTTTGTTTGTTTTTTCTTTTCTTTTTTGAGACAGAGTCTCACTCTGTTGCCTAGGCTAGAGTACAGTGGCATGATCTCAGCTCACCGTAGTCTCTGCCTCCTGGGTTCAAGTGATTCTCCCACCTCAGCCTCCCGAGTAGCTGGGACTACAGGTATGTACCACCATACCTGGCTAATTTTTGTATTTTTAGTAGAGACAGAGTTTTACCATGTTGGCTAGGCTGGTCTTGAACTCCCAACCTTAGGTGATCCTCCCACCTCGGCCTCCCAAAATGCTGGGATTACAGGCATAAGCCACCATGCCCAGCCCTTTTTCTGCTTTTTCTATAGAAAAGTATTTCTAAAATTTAGGCTATCTAAAAGTGTATAATGCGCAAAGTGAAAATTTTCCACAATCCTATTTTCTATTCCCCCAATAAGCCAAGATTCACGGTTGGTTCAATATAAATACATATGCACACATATACCTACTATCAAGTCACCTATCAGGTTAATTCTTCCTTCAAGTAAAAGCTGAAGAATTGCTATGTTCATAATATCTATAATCATTTGTTTCCCTCTACTGTTTTCTAAGTATTTTTAAAAGAAAACCACACATTGTGCAAATGTAGTTTCCTCCCATTACATTAAAACTCAAGAACAAGTATCCCTTCATTTCTAAGTGGAATGATGTAATCCTAGGAAGAGTAACAAGTTCTTCATTGCTAGCCCCTGTGTCTCACCTCTTCCCCTAGGATGTGGTTGTGGTCATTAGAGCTGCTAAAAAAGGAGAGGGAATTTTCTGCCGCCCACTTCTAAGTTAAATGTTTCACTTCTAAGTTAAGTTGTTTAAACCACCTCTCCATGTGAAATTTAACCAGTTTTCTAAATGCCTATTCATATAAGAAACTTATCTTTCTTAAAATTACCTTAAATATGCAATATTGAGAACAGCTATAGGTGGTTAAGCCTGAGAATTTTTCTGCTAATCTTAGCCTCAGCAAGTATTCAGGGCACAGAGGGGAGCTCTAAGTCTGATAGAGATGGAAGGGCTGAGGCCCAAGGTCCTAGCCCAGGGTGAACATGGGGTATCTACATGTCCAATGGCCTCCCAAAAGCCCAAACAAAGAAAACCTGCTGGGGGGAACTAGAGAGATGGAAGAAGTTCTGTATAGTTCTTCTTCCTGAATAGAGCTTTAAAAGGTTCACTTGTTGGTTGGGGACTGGGTGTGGGAAGCATGGGGGTCGGTAAGGGATAAAAGACTACAAATTGGGTTCAGTGCATACTGCTCGGGTAGTGGGTGCACCAAAATCTCACACATCGCCACTAAAGAACTTACTCTGTAACCAAATAGCACCTGTTCCACAAAAACCTACGGAAATAATTTATTTAAAAAAAAATGAGATAGTTTTAATCAGCACTGCAGATTCCCATCCTCTATACAACAAAATTAATTTCAGAAAAAAACATAAAATAAGACAACAATAATGACAGTTTCTTTCTCTTTCAGAAAAGAAATGCAGACAGTAAAAATATTAAACTTTGTGTGAGTAAAAATTATTACAAAAAAGGAAAATATCGTTTAATGCTTTTTAATTACAATGTTGTATTTTTGTTTCTGTTTCACAGAAAAGAAAAAAAGGTGTAACCTTGTACCTGCATATTGGTTGGTCACAGTAATGAATAATCGCATTACAGTTTGATGATAATTATAAAAGGCTAACATGTTGAAAACATTCCCGTTGTAAAGATTTTATTCAAATTCAATCTATTCATGCATAAATGAAAATTTGCACTTGCCAATCAAATACACTCACTTTGTATTTTGGGTTAAAAAAGAAAGGTTCCCCTTTGGGAAGAAATGGTTATTCTTCCTTAGCTGAATCACCCAAATTAAAGACAAGGCTTGGGAATTGGAATTATGCACTGAAACAATCTTATGCTAAAGGGACTGTACTAAAATAATTTCAGATATTATTCCTTTGTTGTATATAAAAGCTGCACTTTTGATGAAGAGTATTGTTCAGAAACCAGTGTGTGCAATACTTACACTTTTGCTAGCTCCATCGATATTTGTTCCAAAGAGCAGCCCTTTGTCTCAGGTATAAACATAACAACAAAAAGCAGGGACGCGAGACTCATGATTGTATATATAAAGCACACCCATGGCAGGCCAATAAGATCTATAAAGGACAAAAGAAATGGATTAGAAGTGTGTTTTGTGTAGCTTCGATCCCGTTTGTGAACAGCCACTTAGGGCATCCATAATGCAATATGTATTTTCAAACATGCCAGCAGTATCCAGGAAAATAGAAATCACAAATTTAAAATGTAGCCAGCTCTGAAAGTCTTACTTTTACAGACTGCCTTAGCTTTCTCTGATGAAGTAAATAGCAATCTTGTAACTATCGTGATGTATACCCAATGCCATTTTCTTGGTGGGCATGTCTTTCTGTTTCAAAATGGCAATGTATCTTTATTAATATAAAAAAGCACATGCAAAAGAGGAACCTCAAATAATATGGAAACATATGATGTAGAAGGTGAAATATCTCTTCTCCCCCTCCGCAGTTCCCCTCTTAGGAATCGCCATGGTAGCAGTTTAGTTTCTGTTTGGTGGACAATTTGTCCCCCTCTTACTTCATTTTCAATGGTGGACATTTCTAATGACATATTTATACAGATGGATTTTTTAGAATGAGCTCACTCTTTCCTCTGATTTGAATAAATCCTTTCTTGCTGGCAATATTTTATCATTTCTTAATAGCTTGTGGTGTATTCGTAATGCTTCTTCTTGGGTTCAGAGAAAAAAGTAATCATTGATCCAGTAAAAGACATTAACTTGCCAAGATGCATCACAAGAAGCAGGATCCTCTAGATTCTGATGGCTCTCATCTGCAAATCTAGTTGTTCCTCTGACCACTTCCAGCCAAAGATACAGTCCCTCTGTAGTCATGGACCACGTCAAGGCGCGTTCAATGGTGAATGTGGCCCCCAATGCACTTGAGTCTGCCATTTGCATTGTACTGGCCCCTGACTCAGCAGCAGAAGGTCTAGTGTGGCAACGAGTGGTCAGAAAGAAGATGGCTCTTGAGATCGTGCCATTGCACTCCAGCCTGGGCAACAAGAGTGAAACTCCGTCTCAAAAAAAAAAGATGGCTCTTTCTGAACATAGGCTCAAACCAACTAGGAACAACAAGATTTTGCGAATAGCCCTTAACTGCTGCAGACACAAACCACAGTTGATCAGGCAGGAAAACTCACTGAACAGTTGTGTACTACACTGTGTAGCAGTGTTTGTAAATGCAGCGTGGAAGAACTGAAGCATAGTAACACTTGTCAGTGAGTTTTGCTGAGATTGAGAGAAGCAGGAAGGAGCAGCAGCACTGCAGTTCTTCCGGCAATTTCAATTAAACTCCTGTCTCGCTGTGCTTTTCTTGCTGGCATAGGGTACTGCCCAACTGATTGCTTAATAAAGTCCTTGTAGAATTGTGTCTCCTTCCTTCTCTGGAGCATAAAACCAGAATACAGAAATTGTAAAAACCCCAAAGCTTGTCTCATCAAATTGTCCCCAGTTTTGTTTGAGCTCATTGAGTAACAGGGAGCTTACCATTTCACGAAGCCTCTCATTGCCTTTTAGCAGCTGCATCTGTTAAAAAGTTGTCCCTTGCTTAGATCCTAGATCTGCCTTTCAGAGGCTGTGCTTTGTCCTCTGGAAGGACACCCATTGAATCAGCTCTCCCAACCCCTTCTCCATGACAGCCATTCAAATATTTGAATGCACCTCAGCCCTCCTCTGAGAAACCCCTTGTCCAAGTCAAACGTCCTGAACTCTTCCAGCCATTCTTCCCACAGCATAGGTTACTGCCCTTGCCATTCAGGTTGCCCTCCTTCAGTGGACACACTGCCATTTTTAAATGGCCCTCTGGAGATATTTTTCCCACAGCTGAATGCAATACTACAATTGTGTCATGACCGCTGCAGAGTACATTTGTCTATCTGGAACAGTCTGTCTTTATTGATACAGCTGAAATTGCATAAAAATGTTGGTATTTAAGGGCGTGCTGCCAAGTAGAACCTCACATCTTGTAGATCCCTCTATCCCACACTTGGAAAATTGATTTTGAAAATAAGTAGGAAATGTCAAGCATTCCAATTAAATGTCATCTAAAGGTTTTAGATCATTCTAGGCTTTTTTTTTTTTTTTTAAGTGGATCTGTTTTCCTAACATTCGGTCTAAAAGCCCGTACGGGAGAACTTCTAAAGCTTCACTAGCTCACATCCAGTATCTTACCTAGCTCCCAGAGATGTGCATCATCTTTTTCCATCCCCCATCAATTCCATTTTTTCTTTTATATTTCTCTTTCTCCACATCAAATAGCAGATGGAGGTATGTGTGTGTCATGTACCTGTGTGCACGTGTGAAAGTGGATGGCATGTGTTTATGTGTGTGATCTGAGTAGGACCAGTTTCTTTGTTTCCTTCAATCTTGAGCCATTTCTCAAAAGGTAGGCTAGAAATACTAGAAATTTTTGTATAAAAACCCAAATCATGCTTAAATAGTAACTCCAAAGATTAATTTCCAGAAGTGGATATACTAAATAAATACATATATACTAAATAATATATATAGTATATATATGTGCTAAATAAATATATATACATATATATACACACACACAGATTTTGAGCAAACGTCCACTTTTGAAAATTACCTATATAAGGACTACATGTATGAAATGAAGAAATTGGGTTATTTGTTTCATAGAATTTTCCATAGTCTGGATTTTCTTGATTGCAGTCGTGTCGCATGTTCGTGATCCCTACATGAAAATAAAGACAAACCGACTCATTGGTCAGTTTTGGTGGATAACAACTGCCACATTATTTTGAAAACTAGAAAATAAAAAGAAAGTTTCAAGCACATATTTTACCTTTCTTATATGAGCCACACTTCAGGGTAGCCAAATAGCTAATGAGAAGAAATTTCTCTTTAAAGAGGTATTTCAGATGAAACTGGAGAAGGAATGATATAATAAACAGGTCTGGGAAATGATCATTAAAGGAGCCCTATGCGACAAGTGAGACAAGCAGACCTGATGTGCCTCCTGATGGCAGGTCACATGGCGGCAGCTGTCAGGGAGCTCACCAACAAACAACATCCAAATCTCCTCAAGCTGCCAGCTTAAAAAAAAAGCCTTTATTTGTTCATTTTAGCTCTATCATTCTTTGTAATCCCCAAAGGGTTTCCCTTCTTACTCCCTCCATGTTCACTAGCTTCCTAGTTGGAGCTAGGAAACAAGGCGAATGCTTCTGATTTGATCCCTAATATTGGGTTATTTTATTACAATATGTAAATCTAATTTATTGTTCTTTTAGTTAGGGCTGCTGAATGGAACACACAAACAGCCATTTTTTGTTTTGCTTATAACATTTGTTAATGCCTTGCCTTATTTCCAACTTAGGGATCCTCAAATTTTCTATATAATGCAGTTGAATTTCAGGCTTTGGTGGGAGTAACCAATGAACCTGACTTTTCTAAAGAATCTCCCTTCTGCTGCTCTCAATCCTTGAATTTGATGAGATCCACCTTGAAAACAAACGTTTATTATTATTACAAGCAATTCTGCCTGACACCTAAACTTGACTTTTGTTATTGTGGATTGCTTTCCCTTTCTCCTCAAACCTCTATCTAAATCTAATAGCAATTTATAAGAAACATAAAAGACAGAGAGGAGGGCCAGGCGTGATGGCTCATGCCTGTAATCCAAGCACTTCGAGAGGCTGAGATGGTTGGTTCACTTGGGGTCAGGAGTTCAAGACCAGCCTGTCCTACATGGTGAAACCTCTGTCTCTACTAAAAATACAAAAATTAGCTGGGCATGGTGGCATGCACCTGTAATCCCAGCTGCTCCAGAGGCTGAGGCAAGAGAATCACTTGAACCCGGGAGGCAGAGGTTGCAGTGAGCCGAGATCATGACACTGCACTCCCGCCTGGGCAACAGAGCAAGACTCAAAAAAAAAAAAAAAAAAACACACAGAGAGGGACAAGCTACATGACTATAATCAACAAAATTCAGACTGGAAAATTCTATGAAACAAATGAGTTTTTAAATTTCATTAAAAATATAAGGTACGGGGGGGTGAGGAGATGGAGACAGAACCTACAAATTATGAGCCATGTCAGTCACTTGTATGTTATGTACTTGGGTCATGATTCAAATCATGTATAAAAAACAATTATAAGACAATTAGAAAGTGAACACAGACTGGCTATTTGACACTAAGGGATGATTTTAATATTTTTAAGTATGATAATGATATTGTAGTTATATTTTTTTGAATATCTTTTAGAGATCTATGCTGAAACACAGTCAAAACAACGTCCATTACCTATGCGACTGACTCAAAATAATTTGGTAAGGGGAAAAGCAGGTGGGGTTATAAACAGATTTAGATTGAAAACTGCAAACTGGGTCATGGGTACTTCGGGGTCCTGGCCATTCTAAGAGTGTTTAAAAATTTCCACACACAAAAAATAGTTTTTAGGTGGGTGTGATCCCCAAACATTTGTCCTGTGAGGACCAAAGACATTAGAAGAAAACAAAGACTTCTTACCAGTTACAGTCAAAAATGTCAGCGAGATGAGGAGATTGATGCCCCAGTTCATGCTAGAAGTTAAAGCCATGGCTCGTCCTCTGATCCCACCAGGAAAGATCTCACTGAGCACCAGCCAGGGCACTAGAAGAAAGGGAAGAGTGTGTGGTGGACAGCATTTTAGCAAAAACCCATTGAATCTGAGTGTCAGCACCCTGATCTCTCTCTGCCCTCATCCTGCCAGGATTTGTGGTTGGGAAACAGGGCCATTTCCTACCTTAGCAGGACAGGATGGAAAAGGGACGTGCTGCCTCCTCACCTCCAGCCAAGGAAGAAAGGATTCACAGAAACACTAGGAGAGCTGGACCAGGGTCTCCACGTGTAGAATGAGGGGCATGAGGCACTGATATCTGACACAGGCCTAAGAAATGCAAACCACACGGGCACAGGCAGGGGCCATCTGCCTGGCAGCAACAAGAGAGCCAGCTCTGGACATGTGCCAAGCACAGGAGCCAGGGTGCCAGAGCCCAGGTGTGCCTGCTGGAGGACTGGGCTGTTTCCTCGACTCTCTTTCCCTGACCTTGGAGGCATTGGAAATCACAGCTAATGGCTGGGTAGGAAATGGAGCCACGAGGGCATGAGGAGGCCGGCTACTCTTCCTTCTCTGACTTGGGCGTCCTGGCCTGACGCAAGCTGGGTGCAGAGAAGTTCTAAATTAAATAGAGTTCCAAGATTTGATCATTGTACCAGACTAGACATTTGAGTTTCTAGAAGGAGAGTCTTATTGGCACCAAAATTCATCAGAGGACTTTTTATTATCTGAGAGTGACAGGGAACATGATGGGGTTGCCTGATGGGATCAGATGGGGCAATTGAGGAGCAAATTAACTTGTCTTCTGCTCATAGCCTATCAAACCCAGTTTGCCTAATAAAAAACAGTCAGGAGTTCTTACTATGGGCATTTACAAACAATTTTAAAACCTCATCTCATTGGATTCTCACAAAACCCTACAAGGTAGGACCTATTACGATGCCTCTTTCATCGAAGAGGAAACTGAGGCTTAGAAGAGTTCACTTGCCAAGGTCACGAAGCACGTAAGTGCCAAAAATGGCATTATCCCTGATAGTCTCTGGAGTCCATGCTTTTTTTTTATCATTGTGCTCTCTTGATAGTGGCTCAATAAATATTTGTTAATTAATAAATAAATGTGGAGTGTAAGCATCTTTGATTCAGTGGAAAGAAGGCCTCCAGCCCTGTCCCAGCTCAGGCTGCCTATGGGCTGATTGGTTATAATTTAGAAAACCAGTATTGTTATATCAACCAACTACACAATTTTATCCTAGGAGAGGGGATGGGAAGAAGAGACTAGAAGCCAGGGAGAGGCCACTCTGGCCAGCAACCACCTGGGCTGCCTATGCCAGAATCAAGCAGTCAACCGTGCCTCTAACTTAAAATTTGCCCCTCCTCACAAGATTATGCTCTGTAGAGGAAACATCTGCTGGGTGTAAATTTGCTGCTTTAAAGGAAGAGAAAATGAAATTGGATTGTAGAAGACTAGAAAAATCTATTTTTTCTTGATTATCTTCTCCAAGTGAATCTATACAGGATTACCTTTCACGCATGGAAGATAATTGTAATAAAAAGTAGTATCATTATTATTGTTCTTATTAATGGGAAATTCAAAACTAGGAAATCCCATGTCTTCCACCCCTCTCACCTCACCTCTCTTCCCCTGCCCCTCTCCATGCCAAAAGACCTTCACTAGATTCTTCCAGATTATATCCTTGGTGGAATCACTTTACTTTTAATGAGACCAGTTTAGTGCTCAGGCAACCCTGTCTTGAGCTTCACAAGACTGAAGATCCAGCTCTGAGTAGAATGGTATCTGCATAATCCTGGTGAATGCTGTGTAATGAAGACCTGTCCTTGGACAAATGCATATAAAATTATATAAATCTGACTTTTAAACTAAATAATATATGCCATGGACCAACCCCCCTATACCCCTTTCTGCCATGGGTACTCGATGCTGGCCAGGTGAAGCTGAGGGTTCCTACAACCAATTGTTTTAACAGCCATGAGGAGGTGGTAGGGTAAAGGACACTCTCATTTTTTTTTTTTTTTTTAGTAAAGATAGCCCAGGGTTTCTTGTTTCAACTTCCATCCTCACTTCATCACCTTTCAGACCTCCTTCTTTTCCTCCCCATCTTTCATCATGGTGACCTCTTGGAATTATTTGGTGAGATTCGGGAAGAATCATTGCTGGGCTCATCAGAACCACTTTAGCCTCAAATGAAAACGAGTTGATCCTGCTATGATCAAAAGTGGACCTCGCCAACAAGAAGACGGGACAGTTGCCCAAAACACCAATCATATGTGCTCAGTCTGAACTGCCAGGGACTTGTCTAGAAAAACTCGAGATCCACATTGCAAGCCTGTGCTAGACAGCTGAGCCAAGTCCTTGGGCAGTTTAGTCAGTGATCAGTGAGTTGATTATTGGAAAAAAGCCTTCCCTCAGTCTCTGTTCCAAAGGAAACTTATCAAGCAAGTCCTATACCTGATGCTTCCAAAAATAACTGTATCATTGCCGAAAGAGTCTACTTCTTTTTTGATTGAATAGAATGAATTAAAGAATTGATGGCTTGGTTTGTCTAATATTGAGAAACTGGATGTCGCAGCAATTGACAAGTATTTTGACAAGGATGGTTCAACCTCCCAATGTGGAGCCTGTGAAATTAAAAATAAGAATATTGATCCAGGCATGGTGGCTCACACTTGTAATCCCAGCACTTTGGGAAGCTGAGGTGAGAGGATTGCTTGAGCTCAGGAGTTTGAGATCAGTCTGCGCAACGTAGTGAGATGTGAGACCTTGTCACTCCTTAAAATAATAAAATAAAATAAGCCAGGCATGATGGCACTCGCCCATAGTCCCAACTACTTGGGAGGCCAAGGCAGGAGGATCACATGAGCCCAGAAGATCAAGGCTACCCTGAGCTATGATCACACCACCATACTCCAGCCTGAGCAACAGAGTGAGACTTTGTCCCTCACCCCTAAAAAGAGAGAATATTATTTTAACAATGATTTCAGAGCTGTCAAATCACAGGTTTTCCACTCCAGAGAGAGGAAAAACAAATCTGAAAGCAGCATGTGCAGCAAGATAGAATCACTGAAAGGATCAGCGTCTTTCCATGGCAGACCTGGAAGCAAGACAGTGACAAAATCTCACCAGCCTTGATGTTCTCTGGAAAGATTCTGTCAATACCTAAAGCAGAAGCAGTGGAGAAACTCAGTTTCAGTTCATAAGGACTGAAACTCTTATTCAGTCATAAGAGATATGAATCGCACATGAGATTTAATGTGTTTATGTTTTTAATAACAGGTGTGAGTTTTCTTAATCATGAATTCCTTTTCCCAATGAGATGGCCCAATTCCTTCCCAAGGAAAATCAAGTTATTGCCACAGGGGAGGGCTCCCTTTCACTACCACAGCAAAGAAGTAGTGGCTCTCTCTGGGCATCTTCTTTGTTGCCTACCCTGATGACAGGCCAAAAGGGGATATACATTGTCCTATTTGCTCATCAGGAATCCACAGAGCATTCATACCAGAGACACAGTGAATTCTTCTTGAGCGCAGCCACTGCAGTTCAGCAGGCACTAAAATAGTTCTCCTCTACTCCTGTTACTCCACTTTCAATCCCATCGGATTTCAGGACTGCCTCAGCAATTCATTCCCTTATAAATGTCAGGGTCTGCACCAGTCTTTAAGGTCTTGTCTATGTTGCAATGATAGAAGTTTTGGACTTGTGGGGGTCAGAGGAGTGGTAATTGTTTATAGATAAGGAACTCATATTCCACATGGTAATAATCATCAGGGCTGCCCATCAAAACTTGCCTGATCCAGATGAAATCCACAGACAGAGTGTTTATGGCTACACAGTGTCATAAAAAGGTCATGAAGGGCAAGTATGTTGAAGTCTGTCTACGTTCGGTTGAGGACATGGACTTGGATTAATAGGGATATTCAATGGAAATGGCAGCCCCACCATATGTGTATTTCCCCATCCTACCTATTTCAGGCTACTGCCCCAGTTTTTCCCACAGAAACTGTCATTTAACCTTCTAAACCTTCAGATTTAAATTCTGCAGCTCTCCAGGCACACTTTCTGTTTGGCTCGAGTCCTTCCTAAACCACCTGGCATGCTAGCCCAGGGTTTGGAAGGATCACAGAGGTCTTGAAAGTCTTGCCAGAGACTCCCAACAATTTGGAGGAAGTTCCACACTCAGGCTGCAGAGTTTTCAACAACTTGATTTGCAAAGGAGCCATGCCCTATGCTTTGTATGAGTTAAAAATCCTTGTTTTTATCGCGTTTGTAAGCAGCATGCAGCATACCTACCTCTCTGACTGCAAAGGAGTAATTAAAAAGTGAATTTGAGAGGGACTGTGCCCTTCTCTTCCAACCAGATGTTTAAATTCTGGCCTCAAAAGTTGCCTAAGTGGAAAAATTGGGTTCTTCAAAAACAAGTATATGACCGGGTGTGGTGGCTCACCCCTGTAATACGAGCACTTTGGGAGGTCGATGCAGGTGGATTGCTCGAGCCCAGGAGTTCAAGACCAGCCTGGGAAACATGGTGAAACCCTATCTCTACAAAAAAATACAAAAATTAGCCAGGTATGGTGATTCATGCCTGTAGTCTCAGCTACCCAGGAGGCTGAGGCAGGAAGATTGAGGCTGCAGTGAGTGATCTTTTCATTTTAAGATTAAATTATAGTCTTAAATTGGAATTTATTTCTATTGTCTCTAAGAGTGTCTAAGAGTTTTTCTGAATTATTAACAGGAGATAGAGGCTGCTGTGAGCCCTGTCATGCCACTGAGCTCCAGTCCAGGTGTCAGAGCGAGACCCTGTCTCAAAAAAAAAAAAAAGGCCAGGTATGGTGGCTCACGCCTGTAATTCCAGCACTTTGGGAGGCTGAGGTGGGTGGATCATCTAAGCTCAGGAGTTTGAGACCAGCCTGGCCAGCATTGTGAAACCCTGTGTCTACTAAAAATACAAAAAGTTAGACAGGCGTTGTGTGGTGTGTGGGGGGCGGGGGGGCGGGGGGGGGGGGTGCCTGTATTCCCCTGTATTCCCAGCTACTTGGG